CACTTATCTAGGAAATAGAATGCACTTATCTAGGAACAGAATTGAAGACTTATCTATTCTAACAGAATTAAAACTGAATGGATAAGGCTTATCCCAACTAAGAGCTAACATGACCGGGTCTTCTGCTGCTATCCACTTTGACCGGGTCTTCGGCTGCTGCATGCATGCACGTATCACTTTTTTTGCCTTTTATCTCCCTTAAAAAACTATGACCTGTCTGACTAAAGTATTAGGTTGCATACATGAACAAAAGATTAAGTAACCAATAATATCTGTGTGCTTCCTGTTATACTAATGATTCTACTATCATTTCCAGCTGATGCAAGGACTTTAGTTCAACAAGCAAGAAATGAAGCAGCAGAATTTCGTTTTAGATATGGATACGAGATGCCTGTGGATGTGTTGGCCAAGTGGTACTTTATCATTGCCTAAAAAATATTAATTTGATTGTCATTGCTGATCAAAACCATTGCTTTGTGGATGTATTGGTCAAGTGATATTTTATAATTGCCTCATAGGGTGTAGATATTGTACAAATTTTCTAATTTTGCATCGAGATTCCTAAATAGAGCCTAAAACAATTAAACTTGAAGGATAGAAATGGCAACGGGGTGGGGCACCCCCTCCCTATCCCCCAGAATCCCCTATCCCATTCCCACTCTGTCCCCAGTGGTGGGGCGGGGCACCCTTCCCCCATTGGGGATGGGGAGTCCTTGAATTTTCCCCATCTTGAAGAAACTACCTAAAAATACATCAAATTTCAGGGGTATTTAAAAATAGGATTATGGGAATTTGGGAGTATTTTAGAAATGTGATTATGGGATCCTAGGTTTTGGGGAGTTTGGGGGAAATTCAAGGGTATTTTAAAAATTAATGTTAAACCTAGGAATATTTTAATAATTTACCTCCGGGTTTGTGGAATTATATGCAAACCCTGTCCCTGTCCCACCCTTGATTCGGGGCAAAAATATTTTCCCCGTCCCTCCAGTCCCAGTTTAAGATTGGGGAAAACCTGCCCTATTCGGGGCAGGGCCTCGGTTTTATAGGGAAAATTGTCATCCCTATTGAAGGATGTATAGAACTGTGTGAGAAGATATATAAGTTTCATTTGATGACATGCATAGGCTGACCAGCTTGTACCATTCTCTTTTATGGGGAGATGCTTCTTTTTTATTGCTCATATGGATAAAATTCCATTCTTTTACCTGTAAAAAAGGAGATTAGTTTCAGCAAGAAAATGACCACCATCATTACTATAAAAGTTGTACTAAGCAACAGTCTGAATATGATAAAGATGCTTTCATTTGCAACCCGATCATATAATAATGACACTGTTAGAGATTGTTACATAAATCTAACCAAGACACTTTTTTCCCATGTCTAACTCCTCTTTTGTATGTATCCCATGTTTACTTATTAGATATTCGTACTAAATTGAATATGGTATGACACACACATTGGCAACTATCGGGCTCCTATGAAGTTCTATTAGGGCATCTTGTAGGCTACATGAATGACTCGGACAAATGGTTCTAAGTTCTAACTAGACAATTATGTTAACTACTAATGGAGGTCAACTGAACTCAACAAAGCCTTGGCCCAACTTTAGGTTCATAGTAGTGGTTTAAAAGTGCAAGGCACAAGGGATTTTAGTCCATTGTTCTTTCCAAGGACCAGATAGACAACCTCCAAGGCTAAAACAACTTGACCCAATGAAATTGCCTCCCCCCCAACGAAAAAAAAAATGAATGAAGTATACCTTATTACTTGCCACAAATTGATAACGTGATAAGCTTTGTCTGCCAATAGATCTAACACCAAAATTAAATTCAAGACCATATTCCTTTTAAAGCAACCAAATCATCATAGCGTCATTAGAGGGAGGGTTAGATTTTGGGATGAGTGTGGGTTGGGAATCTCCTCTTGAAAGATGTGTTTCCTTCTTTGTATTTTCTCTCAATCCTTAGGCCCCGTTTGTTTACCGGTAAATAAGCTTGGGAAAGTTGGTCAATGGGTACCTTTTTCCCATTGACCAACTTTACAATATTCTTTTTTCATTTACTAATGGTTTCCAAGGTAAAATAAGCTCCACTTCCCTGGGTAAAACTTACCCATCTCCCAGGTGCGCAAGTAACTTTCCCACCTAGGGGGAAATTTTATAAAGCATAATGGGACAACTTTGCCAATTTTTATATTAGCTTTATATGGATAAAAATGTCATTCTGTTACTTACCTAGGAATCCTGGAAATCAAAAGAACATGGGTAACTGCACTTACTTAGGTAAATCTTACCCAAGAAACATTTACCTGGGTAAGTTACAAAGAAATAAACCTATTGAATATTTTGGATGACCTTGTTTTTGATGATTCAGTGGATCATAGTTGGGTTTGTTCTCTCAGTCCCTTTTTCTCTTACCCACTTTCTCTTTCCATTCCTTTCCTGTGAAAGAAGTTTGATGTGCCCCCATCCGTCCAAAAGTCAGTGCCTTTTGTTGGGATGTTTATCATGGGTGCATCAACACATGTGATCTACTGCAAAAGAAAGGCCAAATTGATGCTTGTCTCCCAATTGGTGCATCTTGTGTAAGTTGAATGGTGAGAGTGCTTTCCACCTCTTAATTTCTCGTCCCTTTGCTTGTTGTGTTTAGGAATGGTTTCTCTCTCTCTCTTTGGTTGCAGGTGAATCCCTCCTGTTAGTTTGGAAAGACTATTTAGCCCATCTTTTATGAGAAGCACAAAGAGAAGAGGTAGAATCTTGTGGAAGTGTGCAAGGGCAGCAGTTGTGTGACAGTTTGGGAGGAGAGGAAAGAATCTTTGAGGATAGAGAAAGAAATAAGGAGGCAATCTTGGGGACTATTACAGCATACTGGGTGAAGACTTGGAAACTATTTTCAGACTTTTCAGTGAAAGACTTTTTTTGAAACTGGGAGTCGATTGCCCTTTCTTCCTCTAGGAAACAAAAGCTCTTGGAGGTATGGATGGTCTTCTCCAATTGGTGGGTGGATGAAACTTAATTTTGGTGGAAGTAGTTTAGGTAATCCAGGATCCTCTGGGATTGGAGGAGTAATTTGAGATGTGAGTAGGAAAATTTGTGGTTTGTTTTCAGGGACTATTGATCAGGGTGATTCAATGAGAGCTGAATCCATGGCTGCTATTGTTGGGGTGCAAAAGGGGCATTATGGCAATTCAGAAATGAATTCTGCTGGTTCAAGTTGCTGTCAAGACAAGTGCAAGTTCAAGTAAGATGGGTTAGGAGGTCCACTAATGGGTTGGCGGATGGATTAGCTAAACAAGGAGTATATAGACATCATTTGTTTTGGGCTCAATGTTAAAAGGGTGGTGGGACTTCTTTTGTTGTAAAGGGTTTTATTCCTAACAACCTCTTGTTGTAATCTCTTTCTCTTAAAGCTTAAATAAATTCTTTCAGATGCTGATAAAAAAAAAACGAGTGAACTGCCTCTTACTTTTGTTTTTGGTGATAAATAGAGAAAACAATTATTAAGTATAAGAGAAAGAGTACAAAAGAAGTGATAAGAAATCACCCACAATAAGAAAACAGTTTACAAAAACCACCCTTACAGCTGAACCATACCAATGACAAGTACCCAACTCTCAGCTTCATCCCAGACCCTGACCTTCTCTTCCATCGATTATTTTAGTTCAACAAACTATTTCATTTTATTATTATTATTATTATTATTATTATTTTAAATTAGAACTACAATCCTCTCCTAACTCCCTGTCTCCCTCCCTTTCTTATTCAGGAATTGGCTTCTATTTTCTTCAAGCTCTTTAAAGGCTTTACTTGCATACTCCTCTCTCCCAATGAAAAACAAACCTAAGATGTGTTTCATCCAACCACCTCCTTCTCTTGGGAATCATCTAAGTCCTTTTCCCTCCTATCTTCCTTGTCTCTCGTCTTCAATAGGTTTTATTCTATACTTTACTTTTGAACCATTTCTTGCCTTCATATGATTTGATCAAGTTAATTTTACATTGTTTGATGATAAGGACCAAACATACAATCTTAATCTTCAGAGTTTGACTATGATACCGGAAAGGCATCATACTGGAAAAACATGTAACCAACTGTGGCCAATCAGGTGGTATTTGTCAGAATTCATTAGGGGGTGGGGCTGATTGGTCAAAGCCCTTGCGTTATCATGTCTTTCCAGCACCATAGATTTTTCCTAATCTAATCTTCAACTTAGGAGGGAAGTCAGTAAAATAGCTGGTCCTTTGTTTAGATTTATTGAATGTTCTTTTGTTGGCTCATGAGCTTCCTTTCCCTCTATAGTCCTGTTTTGGACCAGGACTAAGATACAAACTCACACACACACACACACACTGTAATTTGTTTTTGTCTTCCTTCTTCCCTTTTGTGCTTGTTATTATTATGGCTATACCTCCATTTTATGCGCCCCATCTCCAGGCAAAAAAAAAGCATGTAAATAATTTACAAAAAAGCTTTCCAGAACTATCCAAGCCAAACCAAATCAACACATCTTTTCTTGGCCATTGTTGCTAGTGTCCCGCATCCATGAAGTGCCATTTACTTGTGAAAGATAATAAAAGCATGGAGAGGGGGATATAGTGCAATTTCATTTGATGGGCTTTGGTTGACATCCCCCAGTGTGCATGCAGGATTGCAGACAAATCACAAATTTATACACAACATGCCTATATGAGACCTTTTGGAGTAGGTATGCTTTTGGTCTTTTCTATGTGTCTGTCTGTATGTATATGCATGTATTGTAAATGATTAATTTATTTTAATCTGAATTTTTCTGTCTCTAATATATCTTTCTGTTCTTTTCCTTTTTCCTTTCTATCTGTGCATTTTGAAGCTGCTATGATTTTGGGTATTGATGAAGAAAATGGGCCTCAACTCTTCAAATGTGATCCAGCTGGCCACTTTTTTGGTCATAAGGTGCCTGTGGAATTGTTTCTTTCTGTTATTATACTTAAGATGTGATATTCATGATGCTTCTTTGGTTTGTTTTTCCCCTGATCAGTAACTGATCAAGATTTTTTAGAATCAGTAATAGGAGTTATAGTGCAGAATGTATGAAGCCCCAACCCAAATCAAAGCCCCCTCCCACATCCCCCACCCTGATGGGGGATTTGATCCAAGGTCTCTGCTACAACCAGTTGCACCCTTCAGAATGTATGAAATTAAAAGAGATTTAGAGCCCCCTGCTATTGTGCAAAAGAGCTGCACCTCTGCCACTTGCCCCAATATACAATAAGCCCCAATAGAAATAAAAAACCATTCCTAATTTGGGGGATACACATCCCATTACAGGGTACCATTAAATCCTTCCCTAGCTGGGGAATCAACAAGATAATTTGTTGATCTGAAGTATACTACATGATGTATTCAACTATTCAAGCTAGAATCCAAATCCTTGACCTCTGAAAATGCCATTCTTTTTCACTTTATGAATAAATTCCCTGAATTATTAGTAGAAAAATATTGATATAAGTACAATAGCATACAGATGCACATTAAAATGTACACAGATGCACATGATATGTTTAAGGAACAGATGAGCCATTTTAGGGATGTGATGAGGTACTATTATATTGGTCGACCATCGCCTTTCTCAAGTAGGGCGGTGAAGTTGAAGGGTTGTTGAAAGCAAAATGAATGGAATTTGTAATACAAAGCTAGGGGGGTGAAAGGAATCTTGTTCAAGAACCAGAGGAAGGTTTTAGCTTCAAGGAAAGGAAAGGAGAAGGATGATGGGAATGGGTCGTCACTAGGTTTGTTCAAAACGTTGAAGAAATGATGGCGGTGGAAGATGGTAGGATGAGTTCTTCGTCATTTGCTGAGGATGGACAGAATGTGTTGAAGTTGGCCAGTGCCAGGGGGGGGGAACCCAGGGAGCCATGCCTCCCCTATGGTTTTGGCTCCCCTCATAAAAAAATTACTGGCTCAGCCCCTGGTTAGTGCACAAATCTGACTGCCTAAGCAAGATGGGGTGGGGGTTATGCATCAGGATGAGCGTTTGTTTCATGGTGAAGAAACATTTTTGGGTTCTTCAGGGAATATGGTAAGTTTGGAATTGATAGATCTGGCACTGAATGACTGTTCTCATGTTGAAGCCCCAGAGTTAGTTATGTCAGATTTGGATGCTTCAACAAGCTTGGAGATTGTCTGTAGTGCTCAACAAGGGGAAGAGGTAGAAAGAGTTTGGGGCGGAAAAGGAATGGAAATGGATTGGGGAATGGAATTGAAGCAGTTAATATTGGTGACAACACGCTTGAAAACTTGAAGAAATACAAAGGTACAAGCAATAGACATTTGGTTGAATTCTTTTATCATTTGAAGGATGGCCTTCTGGGTGCGGGTCCAAGCAATAAATTCAAGAGAGTCTATAAGAAGAAGGGGGTGAAGATAAAAATCAAAATTCTGAAAGGTACTGAGAAGATCAACTCACTTGATAGTTTGAAGGAAGATTCTAGGAGGAGCTTAAGGGAGATGGCTTCAGATTCTCAAGAAGAAATTAATTTGAAGAGGGGAGAGTGGTTGTGAAAAGATTGATAAAGACCGAGAGGAAGAGGGTGAGGTAGTTTTGGATAAAGTGAGAAACGTAGGGAAGAAGGTTGATCTGGAAAAAAATTGTTGAAACAGAGGTCCATTAAGCATTTTGCAAAGAAAATCTTCATGGAATTAGAAAAGGAATCTACATTAAATAAGGCTTAATCGAGGGAAGAAGATTTTTTTTTTCAGCTTCTTACAGGGCGGAGTATTATTTTTAGTTTCTGGGTTTGGGTGAGATTGAATTTTCTGGATGTATTGAGGGATTTGTAAGGAGGCCTTCTGATGTCTTCGAAGATTTGGGTAGGGGCTTGGGAGGTTCTTATTAATGGAGGGCAGGAGGGTGTTAATTTTTTACTGTCTTTTTTGGTAGGTGATATCTTATCACCCTTTCTTGTATTCTCCTCTCTTTTCTTCTTCTAATAAGATTTCCCTTTTATTTATTTTCAAAAAAAGAAAAATGTACACAGATGCACACATCTAAATGTGACTTATGAGGAATGTGGCTTATATTTTTGGGTGTCAGACTCAAAGTTGTACTTCACTTCAAGGTGTAAGCCTCATACATATTTTAAAACACTTTCTTTTTAGTTTGAGACGAGATTTTATTAAAAGGTAAAAGAAAAGTACAGTCATTCCCAAGAACAGGACAAGAGACTTGAGGTTGCTCATATTTCAATTCCCAATGACATACAGAGTCTTATCCTGAGCTTGAAAGAAGGATTGCAATATAGCTTTCCCATCCTTACCTCTTCTGTAGCTGATGAATTTGCTAGAGAGTTGGCTTACCTTTGTATTCATTTGAACGAGATAAAAAAGGCATATTAACATTTCACATTTGTCCTATCATCACTTGTGAACTTCATTTGTACTACAGTCCATTTTTTTCTTAGCAAGCGTAATTCATGAAGAAATGAGAGTGCCTTAGCTATAGTGCAATCTCCTCTACCTAATAGTATGACTGAGAAAATGTTTAATTATCTTGAGTTAGGGTGATCTCATAATTTTGACCTTATTCTGATCTAATTAATCTATATATGCACACTTTTTTGTGTGTGTATTAGTATATATTCTGATTTAATTTTGATCTCATAATTTTGACCTTATTCTGATCTAATTAGTCTATATATGCACACAACACATGTGTGTGTTAGTATATATTCTGATTTTACCTACTTCATTTATCAGGCTACAAGTGTCGGCTTAAAAGAACAAGAGGCAATTAACTTTTTGGAGAAAAAAATGAAGAATGATCCTGCATTCTCCTATGAGGAAACAGTACAGGTAAACATAATATTTCTTGATGGAATTCTACATGTATTACCTATAGGTATTTTACGCATCTCCAATGGACACGGACATGGGAATCAGATCTAACACTTGGGAGTTCGACACAGTAAGACAAGAAAGCATGGATTGATCAACATGTCTGTAGCAGAGGATTTTTGTTACTTTATTTAACCTCCAATTGGTAGTTGTCAAGTTTTATATATTTGTTAGTTTCATTCAATCCTCTAACTTTGCCACCTTTCCTCTATTATGTAGACTGCAATTTCTGCTCTGCAGTCAGTTCTACAAGAGGATTTCAAGGCCACTGAAATTGAGGTATCACTTCTCATTTGGTCATTCGAACCACTGATAGCATAAGCAGCTTTTTCATTGCTCATGTTGTAGTACCACTATTATTCCATGCTGTTATTGACTCCCCATTAACTTACTTTATGCACTTGCATAAGTCTCTAGCTTTCTGTCACAGATTTTTCAACCATTTCCTGGTTTACTTTTATTACTTTTAGTTGATACTTGATAATGCTTTCAAATCTCCTAGTGTTGTTTTTCTACTTCTCTACCAGCAAGAATTTGTTGAGATTTTGGGGTTAGTGGAAGCTTTCTTGACAAAACTTGTCCATGAAAGATTCTTATCTTTCGTTTCAATGACTACCCGTACTTGGAGCCCCTTTCCTTTGTATAATTAAATCTGTTTCAGTCTTTCAGTTCATCCACATTGGTTTTACTTGTTTCTTGACTGATCCTGCGTTCTGATATATGCTTTTGAGAGGAATCAATCAACAAACAAGTAAAAGTGAGAGGAGCGAACTGAAAGACAAATAGATTATAATTCTTGACTGTTTCTGGTAAAAAAACCAAGTACCGATCAAATTTTAGTCCTTGACAATTGCATCATTTTCTTATTCTTGACATTTTCCTTCATTTTTTTTATCAAAAAAAAACCATGAATCCGCCCATGGAAAAACAAGATTGAAAATGGTCCCAAATATCTGACTTGGTCCTGAAACTAAGGGTGAACATTCCTAGCCTGGTTCACATTTTTTTTGATCAGAAAAAAGATTGTTTCATTAATTAAAATATGTGGAGTTAATTACAGACTGATGACCCAATAGTCTTCCCCAAGGATTACAACCCAAGTTACAATGAGTCCCAATATAGTTGCTGCCTTGTATCCCCTTGTTTGGCTGAAGTATCTGCTAACCCATTTGCACTCCTGATCCACCTAAAATCAGCATTTATATCCTTTGCTAATCTCTTCACTTCTCTGAAGATATGCTTGTGGGTCCATGGGACATGTCTATTACATTTTGCCCAAGAGATTACAACTTTTGAGTCCCCCTCCACTTCCACCTGATGAAAACCCAATTACTTTGCCAATTCGAGGCCCTGTAATAATGCCAATAAATCAGCCTTTGTTGAGTTTGTAATACCAATTGGCCCTGAAGATAGAGCCAATATCTTGCATTCTTATTTTTGATTGCTTCCCCAATTCGTGCCACTCCTGGGTTGCCCATAGAGCTTCCATCAAAATTTAGTTTCACTTTGTTTACCTCTGGTGGTTTCCACTCAACTATTAATAGTTTCCTGGCCCCTAGAGGACTGTGCTATCTCTTTTCATGCCCTTTGGATGTCAGTTACAGAGAAAACTTGAAAACTGTCTAAGGTTTTTATCCACAATGCGGCCCTCAGTTTTATGCTGTCAATGACCTCTTCCAAAGTTCTAGATTTTCCAGCAAAATTTTCTGTTATTTCTTTCTTCCCATACTCCCGAAGCAATAGTCGCTTTGGTAACTTTCCACATAATTCTCCCTTTCTTCTTTGGTTGCCTCAAGAAGTTAGGATTGAAAATGTTTGTCAACTCTTGGGAAGGGTTCCCATCTACAACCAAAGAGAGAACAGAAAAATTCCCAAATACGACGTACAAATGGGCAGGAGATCAATAAGTGGGAGAGGGACTCTCCACTATTCCTACAAAAAACAACACATATGAGGAGAGAGGCTAGTGGAACGCTTCCTTTTTTGCAGTAAGTCGCAAGTATTTACCTTACCAAGGAAAAGGGTCCAGCAGAAAGCTTGGATTTTTGGTGGGGTAGGTTTGCTCCAAATTTCTTTCATTGGGAGAGCCACCCCTTGGGGCCTAGAAGAAGCAAGATGACTAAAAAAATTCATAAATTTCCAGGCTTGGCTTGGCACTGGGCCCACATCAGGCTCAGGAATTTGTTGGCTGGGCCTGGCCCAATATATACATATGTATTTGTGTTTATATTATATTATAGGAAAAATCTATGCTGCCGGAAAGACATGATACCAGAAGGGCTTTTACCAAATCCTCCTGTGAATTTGATAGAAAACCACCTGATCGATTACTGGTTGATTGATTACAAGTGTTTCCAGTATCATAGTTGAACCCTATATTATATATATAATTAATATGTATACATACATAAGTACATGCATGCATGCATGCATACATATATATTAATGACACATAATATAAAATATTATATACTTATAATATAATGTATTTAAAGTCAAAGGCCTGGAAACCAGGGCTATAGCCCTTGTATCATAGAGGCTGGCCTGACCCAACCCATGATCACCCCTTCCTGAAAGTAGCTAGATCTTGAAAATAATATGATGGTATGGTATCGCTTTGGATATGGGGGAAATGTAGAAAGAAGTTTCAGTGATTCAAAAGATCCAGGAATAACTTTTATCTTATTGGGCCAGTACATGGACCAAGGTGCTGTTTCTCATAATCACGCTTTTTGGAGATTTTATTTTGGTAGTTCACTTGCTGACTAACTTGGGAGTTGGGACATGTTTAATTGCTCATATGTGCAATATAACTATGGAGGCAGGTGGATTGGATTATTCCCCAATGCCTTAAAGTTCAAACTAGTACCATGCAGAAGGGAGCAAGAACATGGAATATTGTCTAAAATTAATGTTTGTGGTTTCACTGAGAAATTTATGGACAATCATCTGGGACGTTTGGGTATTTGTAGGTGGGAGTCGTGAGAAAAGAAAATCCTGTATTCAGAGTGTTGCCCACTGAGGAGATTGATGAGCACTTGACAGCCATAAGCGAGCGTGACTGAGTTCGAAGAAGGAATCAGAGCTGCCTAGCATAAGATCATCTAGGTCGATTAAATACAGAACCATACTGGGCTTAAACTTGTATGGTCTTAGCTTGCCTGAGCATGATATGAATGAACCGGTTTTGGTTTTTGGTCTTAAACTATGTAAACTTGTTCATTTGAAGCTCCATTGTTTTAACTTTTAGCTTAACGGTATTTCTCTTTTTATATATTAAATTGGAATCTACTAGTGCAGTTGTTCTGGCCTCTGGGCAGTGTCTGGAAACGAACTGTACCATAATTAGATCCAATCCAATATAATGGTATATTTCTCCGAGACAAAAACAAGTAGGGTTTCAATGCAACAAAAATACAGTGGGAGTACGCCTATCTGGTACCCATTTGGGAGGGCTTTCATGCAGTGGCTTCTGTCGTTGTATGAGCCAAGAAACTCAGAAAGTGGTAGAAGCCTGTTTGATAAAAATCTGAAAAAGCTGAAAATTAGTTTACATGGGCCCAAAAAATTGACTTCCTGGTTGAGTTTGTGTTTCTGTTGAATTAACATAGAACCATGAGCGCTCTCAACAGGCTCCTAGATGTTTCACAAAAAAGCTGCTCTATACCTTGGGAAAATTTGACCTATCACCTACCCCCGTCCCCAAACTCTTGATTTTTCACACATTGATTCTAATCTGTCCAAACCAGTTGGTTGTAAAGTGTACCAGTTCATTCTACTTTACAAGTCTAAAGTGACTTTTCCAGTATTTACATTCTTTAAGCAAAATTTGGGCCCCACCTCCCATTTGTCTTTTTTGTAGATTTCTATAACAATTGATGAATTACTTGACCATCCCTAGCTGCCGGAGGCTCAATCCTTCTAAGTCCTAAACGAACCACTAATGTTCTGGGGTTGTCTCCACCTGATCAAACATATGTTTGGCCTATGATGGCCTCTGAAAACCCCTTTTTTTTCCTCTTCATTTTGGGGTATTACATAGGACACATTGCAAGGGAAGGGGGTGGGGGTGGGGCAGAGTAGGATGAAGATGAAGCCCACTGGCCATACCATGAAGAGTCTACGGTTCCATCCCGTGCCTCCTATTTGGAGTGGTGCCAAGAGACCATCTTGATTCTTGACTATGGGCCATTGTCTCATTGATGAGAGACAAGAATACTTAAAATTGGTTTTGAAAGAGATATAGTATCAGGTAAAGCTTAAGCCTCTAACTTCATCTTTAATAGAGGAAATATACGGACTTGGGAAAAAAAGAGAAGATTGGCCATGTGATTAGGGATAGATAACATGCAAATACCATTTATGAGAGAAATTCCACAAAATTTCCAATGAAAGATTAGAAAAATAACGTTTCATTAGAAAGAGAATAGAGTATCATCACCTAAGGCCATGTTTGGCTTAAATTCCCATTCTTGTTCATTCTTTCTAATAATAAAATTCTAGAATGGATAAGAATGGGTAGAATGAGAAAATGTTGTTACAAATAAAATACCTTTTTTTCCAGAGAAAGGAATTCTTTTTGTGGCATGAATGAGAATAAATTTTGAGCATGTTTGGTTACGACTTTAATTTTATTCAATTTTTTCAACCAAAATGATAATATAGATGTATACACAATACTCATTAGTATAGTGAAAACATGCTATACATAACACAAAATATAAAAAATAATAATAGATAAGAAACTAGAAAATGTTTTGCATTTGGTTTCATAAAGAAAATATAAAAATAAAATTTAAAGGAAGCAATAAGCACCTATTTAAAACTAGTTAAAAGGAAATTAATTTGCTGAACTGAATATGCAGTTGTGCAATTGAATAGCCTGGGTTTTGTTTTCAGGCTTGACCAAACCTATATATTTAAATATATGTATTTTATATAAAATATCTACATATGCTATCTTATTATAAAATTATATATATATATATGACTTAAGGCCTGACCTGATCCGTAATTACCCCTTCAAACATCCATTAAAAAGAAAAAAAAAATATTTAAGGATCAAAATGCATAAAATGTAAGCAACAAAATAGATTTGGGCGTAATGGTGGACTATATGAAGGTTTGAAATTATGTGCATTAAGCGTTAAAGTGGCATGCCTAATTTGAAATTCAAATTCAAAACTTTAGGAGGAAGTAATTAATGAGAAGAATTAGCAATAAAAGAAAGATTAATGAGAGAAAGGGAGTAAGTAAAGTAATTAATGAGAGAGAGAGAGAGAGAGAGTAATTAATGAGAAGGACCAGCAATTTAATGAGAGAAAAAGAGTAATTAAAGTAAGGGTAAAAGAGTTAAACATACCCTGGGTTTTTCAAAATGAAGTAAAGATATATTGTGACTCTTTTACCCTTCATTTCCTTTCAAATTTTCAAAAAGAACAAAAAAGATTATAAATTTGAACGCAAATGAAGGTAATACAAAACATCACGTTTTCCCCTCCAACCATTAGCGAGAATGGTAGGAGATGCTTTAATATAGATCTTGAGATTGATTAATCAGCCCTACCCAGTTCAAGTTAAATTTTGTCTATACAGAATTTGATGTTTGATATTTTACCAGCAGTAGATATTGGCTATACAAATACAAAGCTAGAAGAAGATTTGAAATGACAAGCCCAAACAGAAATAAGGATGAAAAACAAATGCATCTTTAAAAGAAATAGATTTAACAATTGAAAGATTTTGGTTCTATATGAGCCATAATGCTTAAAGAGCACCTACACTAACTTAAAAGAAAAATGGAATTGTTCGTGTAGATTCCTCTAACGGATGCCATAAAATGCAATGGATATGAATTGGTTGACAGTTACGCATATGTGTGAACCATTTGTAACACTTATTTTCCAGGCTAACTGTTGATCATTAGTTTTTCAAATAAAATAGTGAAGGCCATCCTTATTATTCAAATAATAGAACAGATAAACAAACAACAAGGTTGATTTGTTAAAGGGCAAAATAGAATTTAAATGAATTTACATATTTCATTGATGGAGGGTTTAAGTCCAATGGGGTTGTTTTACAAGGTATATCTTTAAGTCCTTTTTAGAAGTTCAGGGTATATTTGAGTCAATTAATGAAAACTCAAGATATGTTTAAGTCTTTTCCCCTTAGGCTTCATTTGCTTTTTGGTAAGTTAATTACTTGGGTAAATGCACTTACCCTACCCATGTTCTTTTATTTTCCATGCAAACAAGACAATGACCATTTTAGCCACAAAAATACATTATTACAAGGGGCATTTTTGTCTTATTCAAGTGTTGGCAACTTTTCCCTAAGGTGGAAAAGTTATTTACCCACCTAGGAAATGGGTATCACTTACTTGGAGATGGGTATTTATGCACCTGGGTAAGTGATACCGAGGAAAATAAACTTTCCCTGGTCCCCACATAAATCTGAAGAAAAAACATAGGATTTTTGGTCAATGGGAACCAAAATCCCGTTGATCAACTTTCCCCCCTCTCAAAAAAAAAAAAAAAAAAAAAAAAAAAAAAAACACCCCCTTAATTAATGAGAGAGAGAGGGAGAGTAATTAATTAAAATAATTAGCAATAAAAGAAAGGAGAGTTATTAATTAGTAATGTATCGACTTGTATTGGGTCTTGTATATGTTTCATGTATTGAGTCTTTATTGAAATTATATGTCAGTTGATATGGGCCGATACATTGCGAAAATTTGAACCTTGATGCTAAGAAAGTCATAAAATATATTAAAATAACATATAATCAAGCATCATTTTGCTTATTTTCATTTTTCAAAGAAACTTTGTGACGGTGGTTCTAAATTGTAGTCTAGGTCTCAAAAACCGTTGGTATAACTCTTTATTACTTATGGCTAACACCGATGTCAACTGGCATAAGTTTTCACATTGTCAGCCATCCATTGGTAAAAATCTATATCGACGGTCTTTGAAGGATGAAAATGAAGAAGATGGAGCACTAATACTTTTATTGATGCAAGTTGCCTCAACTTTTATACCATGTGCTCATTTTTTTATTCTAAAATGAATAAGACCCATGGCTAGAATTTTGTAACTAAACACTCTCATGTAATTTATTCTTCCCATTCTTGCCTAATTGAAAGAGTAAGGCCCTAATGAGAAAACCAAACATGCCTTGAGCGTCTCCCTACTTTAATTATATGGATTTCATTTTCTGTTTTTTTTCTCTTTTTTTTTTCTATGGCAAATAGGGGTGGATTCGAGCCAAGCCGAGTTGAACATCTGGCTATTCGAGCTTGGTTCGCCAATAAACTATCTGGCTCGAGCTTGATTCGAGCTAAAGAGTTGCGCTCGAATTCGGCTCGAGTCACAAGCTCGTAAGTTTAAACTTGGCTTGGTTCAAGATCGATTGAGAGCCAAACATTTTATAAAATAAAAAGTATATATAAAAAATTATTTTTATTTGACATATAAAAAATTGTGAATTATAAAAATTAGTTATTATATATATAATATTTTTATATTTATTATTTTTTATATGTATGTATGTATGTATGTAAAAGCTCAATTAGGCTCACGAGCCTGATGAGCTGAACTTTATTGGGCTCAAGCCTCAAACTAGGCTCGATTAATAAACGAGCCTATATATTAGGCTCAAGCTCGACTCAAAACTCAGTTTAATCCAAATAAAATTGAGATTTTCACAAGACAAACTCGAATAATTCGTAAAAAACTTGGCTCGAAAATCACAATTAAACATAAAGGACATGGAAAATCAAGATCAATCAATATTCATCAAAGATAAGAAATGACTGACTTGGTACTGAAGGCTCTGAACAACGAAAGCGTCAAAAACATTCCATGTTCAGGTAGTGAGGACAGATCTGTCGGTTCATTCATGAACAGGAACTATGCCTTAGTGTGGAATTGAATATAGGAGAGGTGCTACTGACCCACTTAGGTGGATGAGACAGATGATGATTACCAGCAGAACACTCAATTCAATTCAGCTTTAATCCCATTCCCACCTATTTGAAATCAACTAAAGGAATCTTGTCCCACACTCCCACCCCATTGTGCTCTGTAAAGAGCCCACCATCAGAATCTGCAATAGAAACAGAAGAAACACATTCTATGCAGCATTAGCCAAAGAAATCTGGACTGTGGAGTTCATCAGACTGGACCAGGCCAAACAGAGATAAAAAGTCTGTAATCTCTATGTGCCAGTCCAGAGACTCCAGACCCGTGAGCCACTACGCCTGGCCCATTGTTTTGCATGGGAACATCATAGCATGCCAGACTCAGAGGCTTCAGA